AAAAAAAAAAAAAAAAAAAAAAAAAAAATCATAATAAAGTGTTTATGAATATAAAATTATTATTTTTTTTTTTTTAAATATGAAATTATTAAAGCTTTCTTGGGTACGACATGATGCTCTTATTTCCAAATTTGTTTTGTTTGCATCTTTTTTATTTTTAATCTTATTATCTGATAGTTTTATTAAAAAGGAATATTTTTTTAATATAAAAATACGAAGTAGTAAGCTATGTCATTTTTTACAGAATAATTTTTACAAATTAGAGAAGGTGCTTTTGTGTACATCTCTTAACAATTTCCCTCTTAATGATTGGAAAAGTTTAAAAAAGGGAAATGTAATGAGTCATGAAGAAAAAGTAAATGAAGAAACGAATATTATAGAAAACAAAATTAAAAAAAAGAAAGAAGAAATGAAAGAGGATGAAAATTCATTAGATCTTGTTTTGGATACAAATAATCCTTCCTTAGATAAAAATGTTCTAGAAAAATCTAAATTAGTATTCAAAAAGTTAGACAGAAATAATAATAATTTAATAGATTTTAACGAATTCAGGACAAATGTAGAAATATTATCAAAAAGTGATGATATTAATACAAATATTTTAAATTATTTATTTCAGCTATTTGATATAAACAAAGATAAAAAACTCAATTACACTGAATTTTTATCTTTAAATTCGTATGATTTTAATTATATCAAATTAATTAAAATATTATTTGACGCAGATGATACGGTAGATAAAAGTACCATCTATGAGTATTTACAAATTTACTTTTCAGAATTTTTAGAAAATATAATTGAAGAGGAAAAGCATATTTTAATAAGAAAGAACAATTTAGTTCATTTGCTTTCCAAAAATTTTTTTAAAAACAGTAGAAGTAAATGGGATATAAATGAAGATGAAAAGTTACAAATGGAAGAGTTCCAAAATTTTCAATTATCTTTATTAATAGAAATTGATCATTTATCAAATTTTTTGCAATTGGATTATAACCTAGATGGAAAAATTGATATTGCTGAATTATTGTTTTATCTTAACAACGATAAAAATGTTTATAATAAACTGTTTACATATATTAAAAATAATAAAAAAAAAGAGGATTTATTTAAATATATTAAAGAATCATTAAACATCGATGACTCTTTAATTTTCAATTTAAAAGTTTTATTTTATTCATTTGATATTGATAATGATATGTTGCTAGATTTAGAAGAATATCAAAATCAAGTTGATACTTTTTTGATTTTAGATGTTACACCTGAAATAATCTATGCTACTTAAAAATGTTTTAAAAAAATTATATTACTATATATATATATATATATATATTATTTTTTTTTATGTATTTATATTTTCTTTTATATAATGGTTTTTTATTGTTTTGTAATTTTAGTAAATATTATATTTTAATTTTTTTTTTTGTTTTACCATTTCTATTATTATTTTTAAGTAGCTTTTTTATTTTTTTTAATTATAATTCAATTTTTTTTTATATTAGTAACAATAATAAATTTATTTCTATTCATAACATAAAATTATGAATATTTTTACAATAAATTTCGCAGAGTTTCTTTTTATGAAACTATTTAAAATTTTCACATTTGGAGAAAAAAGAAAAAGTAATAATTTATTCTTTTATATATATATACATACATATATATATATATATATATATGTTATTTGTTATACTTAATTAAATCGATTAAACTTCTAATGTATAAAATCTAAAATACAATAAATAAAAATCTAAGGTAAAAAGAAAAATATATATTAGAAAAATAATTAGAGAAAAAAAAATTGTCGTATGTATTAATTGTACCAAAAGATAAGTTGCTTATTGATAAATATGAGTTATATGTATATACTTTTCTTTTTGTAATTAAGAAACAGTAAATTCAAAATATTATTCCTTTTTTAAAGAATAAATTTATTAAGATCTTAAACTATAATATAGATATTCATCTATATTCTAATTTTTATGAAATTAATAACATTAAATAAATATATGGAAAAACTATCTTAAAAAAGCATCTAAAGTTCCTTACGAAATTTTCTTGTATAAATTTTATATAACATCTTAAAATATTGTTATATCATTATCGTTAATAATAAATGAATACATTCGTTTTATAAAATAATTATTTTTTTTTTTTTTTTTTGTATATCTTCATTAAAATTTAATATGTTATTATTTCTATGGAATAAATATCGAATTTCAAAAACATTGTTAATATAGTTACTATAAAAATTTTTTTTTGCATGCTCAAAATATTTTTATTAAATAAAATGCGTACATTCAACCGTTTTTTTTTTTTTTTTCTCTAAAAACAAAATATATATATATATATATATATATATATATATATATATATATATATATACATATATATATAGATAGAGAGCTTAATTTTATGCGTGCAGTATTCAAATTTAGTTGCATACATAAAAAAAAAATTTTAATTTCACTTGATTTTCATAAATTATATATATATATATATATAAACATTATTATATGCGTGCATAATTATAAAAAAAAAATTATAATTTTTTCTTTTTGCTGCATAGTTATAATAATTGCTTTGTTTTGTTTTACCTTGTTTTATTTTTTTTTTTTTTTTTTTTTTTTTTTTTTTTTTTTTTTTTTTTTTTTTTTTTTTTTTTTTTTTTTTCCTATTAAATAGCAATGATATTTTGAATTATGGGATTCTTAGTAAAAAATGAGAAGGTCATTAATGAAAACAGTGAAGGAATAAATAATGAAAATAAAATAAATGAGAAATATTTGGATAGCAATGGAAAAAAAAATTTTCTTTATACCTTTTATGATATAAATAAAAAAGAAAATGATAACAATATCTATACATGTAAAAATTTAAGTAGTAGCAATATTTTAACTAATCAAATAAATAATATAAATAGCAGAAATAATAATTATAGTTCAGAAGGATACATAGATAATTTAAATAATATGAATAATGAAGAATTATTGACAAATAAAATTAATTTTAATGATAACAAAAACAATTCATGTATAAATGAAAATAATTTATATAATGGAAATGATAATTCATTCATAAATAATAATAATTTAAATAAATCAAATAATTTTTTTTTAAATGTAAAAAATGATTCATTAATGAACGATGTTTTAAATAATTCAAACTGTTCATATTTAAATGAAAGAAATTCAAATAAAATAAATAATGAAGATGTTTTAAATGATAATAACTTAAAGGAAGTTTGTCAGAATTCATTTATAAATGAAAAAAAATTAGATAAAATAAATAAAGAAAATAGTATAGATAAAATTAAAAATATACAAAGATTATATAATAATTCACATAAAGTAAGTAATGGTTATTTTAATTCGAATAAAAATAATTTGATTAAATTAAATAGTTCATATATAAATGAACAAAATTTAATAAATGAAGATATTGACTTAAATAAAAATTGTGTGAAACAATTTAATAATAGTGCTACAAAAAAAGACATTATTAAAAGTGATTTTGATCAAAGTAATGAATATAATTTTTTAGAAATAAACAATGAAGAGCAAAACGAGGTTATAAAAAAAAAAATAAAAAAAAAAATAAACGAAAACGATTATTTATTTCATGCTATTAATGAACTTTTGGAAGTTGGATTAAAAAATGAGTGTATACCATTATTTGAAAGACTTCAGCAAAATCTCTTTTTTTTAGTAATGCTTGCAAATATTCCGAATGAAAAGTTTGATGATATAGAAGGTAGTTCTGATTATTAATTTATAAAAATAATAATAACAGTGATGTTAATAGTAAATTATTTAAGACAATAGTAATTAAAAAAGAAATTTCATTTTTTTAATTTTTCTTATATATCTTATATATATATATATGTTTATATATTTTTTATTTTTATTTTTTTTTTTTTTTTTTTTTTTTTTTTTTTTTTTTTTTTTTTTTTTTTTTTGTAATATATGTAAATTGAGGTTCATTTAAAGATCTTTAATGTGAATTTTTATTTAAATTTTTTTTTTCTTTTTTATTTTTATAAATACATTTAATAATTATATTTTTAAAAATAACTTTTATTGTATTACTTATTTTTGTCAAATTAAAAACTATTAATTTTAAAAGATCTACATTATTTTTAAAAAAAAAAAAAAAAAACATAACATATATTACATAATGGAGAAGAATCTTAATAATAAATTTTTTTGAATTTGAATATAATATTAATAATGTAATTTTTTTAATGTTTAGTTTGAAAAGTGAAATTTCAAAAAAAAAGATTTAAAAAAAAAAAATTAAAAATTATTAAAAAAATATTAAAGCAAAATTTTAAAAAAATAATCAAATGCATTTTATGAAAAAGGTGAACAAAATGAGAAATAATCAAATAAAATGAATATATTTTGCTAAAAAAACATTAATTCATTTAATTTTTATAACATATTCATTAACTGTAACTCATAAAAGCGAACTAAATTTATTTTGACACCAACCACTTTATTTTTGCTCTTTACAAAAATTTTAATTTTTCATTTTTTTTTTTTTTTTTTAAATCAAAAATAAAATTATAATGTAAAATCTCGTAAATTCTTTATATATATATATTTATTTATATAATTTATATCTCAATAATGTTATAAATACTAGTAAAACTTAAATCATATAAAACAAATAACTTTATAACATCATATAAAATTAATTTATATATGTATAAAACAATGTGTTTGTATATACATATATGTATATATATATAAATATATATAAATTCTAATAAATAACTACCAATAACATTTGCTTCCATAAATATGTATATTAATATTAACATTTCACATTTATAGATTTATTATTATTTTTTTTAATAACTTTAAAAATTTGACTCTGGATGTGTATTATAATGATCAAAGTTTTTTGAATAGTTCGTATCGGAATCATTCTGTACATTATTCATATTAAAATTCTGATAATTTTGAAATGGAATATTATTAATAAGAGGATAATCCATGTTATTATATGTATTATTTTGATTATATAATAGTCTTGTATTCAAATTGTTTAAATCGTTCATTTCTGCTTTTGGTGAATTAAAATTATAAGGTATAATTTTATTATTTATTGACTCTGATACATTAGGTTTCGCTTTTTTATCAAGAAGAACGTTCCTTTGCGAATAATCGTCTTCTACTTTTGTATAATTAGATGCGTTATTAATAGAATCAAAACTATAATTATTTTTATAAGAATTCTTAATATATGTTGCAAAATTTTTATTAATGTTATCTAAGTATGAGCAAAATAATAAATGTCTATGCATGTTATTTTTATCCAGAAATTCATAACTAACTTGCGATGCCTCATCAGCTATTGCTTCCCAATAATGCCAAACTGTTTTAGGAATTCTAACTTTTAGGTTAACTTTTCCATAGCTTTTCTGAGGTACATTGCATCGCAAATATGCAAACCCTTGATCATATAAATTTCGTAAGTTTACATCGTATGAATCTGAATTATTATAAATCTCATGCAACGTATATTTCTTCGCTTGAATTAACAAATTATCTCCCCAATCTACTAAAAATTCACATTCTAGTGTAAACAGATCTCTTAAAACCATTCCACCCAACTTGTTAAATGTTATTTTTATGAAACAAAAATTCTAAAAAAAAAAAAAAAAAAAAAAAAGTTAAAATAATGAAGAAAAAAAATACATAGAAAAAATCAATAAAATATTTAATCATATTGTAAAAATAGAATTAATTTTAAGTAATTTTTCATTTTTTAATGTTTTTTTTTTTTTTTTTTTTTTTTTTTTACTTTAGAATAATTTTCGTCAGCAAAACCATTGCTTGGATATATAGCAGATATTTCAAAATATGGTTCATCTAGTTCATTTTTCATTGTAGGAAGTAAAATATTATTATCATCAAGAACTAATATATCTAATTCCAAGCAGTTGTTTCCTTTCGTTTTTTTGGGTTCTTTGTTCATACAGTTTTCTTCATAATATTTTAACTCTTCATTAACAAAATCAGTAGCTTTTTTAATTAATTCCTGATTATATAATATCAATGCTCTATCTAATAATACTTGTTCGTTATTATTATCTATATTTGTAATTCGTGGATCGAAAAAACTAAAAAAAAAAAAAAAAAAAAAAAAAAAATTAGCTAGCTGGAATAAATTATGAACAGTACATTAATAACTACAGATAAATATTTAAAAAAAAAAAAAAAATGAAATTTTTTCTTAATTTTCTTACTCATTTCTAACTGAGTTATAGTAATGTAATTCTGGAATTCCTAATCTCCACATTACTTCTTTCCAACAATCTTTAAAAAAAAAAAAAAAAAGAAAGAAAATAATAAATATGAAATTATTATATATATATATATGTAAAAGATACACATATATAAAATTATGAATATATATATAGATAATATAATTACTTATATTTCTTTGGTAATGCTCTGTTGCAAATTTTTGTTTTAAAATATGTCTTCCACATGCACGACATAATGTTCTTTCACTTTGTCTGTAATAAAAATCAATTCTTATATCTCCTATAAATTGATCTCCTCTCGTAACAGTTCTAATTTTTATCATATCAGTTAATGGAAATTCCCACAATTTTTCAAATAATTCATCAACCAACAAAACCGTTTTAAAACCAGTTACTCTTTGATTTATTGGTCGAATATTTTTATAAAGTTCACTTGGTAGATCTTCTATTTTATATGTTTTCCAATTTGCTCCACTTTTTAAAACAGTTAAATTCTTTAAATATTCTTTTATTTCTTTATAATTTAAATAAGTATAATTATGTGACTTTTTAGGAATAACAAAATTCTTATACAAGAAACTAGTTGTATTTTCTTTAATTATATCTCCATATACCTTTACAATTTCATCATTTTTTTTATTTAAAAAATTTTTTTTTCGTCTTCTTCCTTTATCCTTTATCTCAGTCTTTTGTATATTCTTATTTTTTATTTTTATTTTTGATTCCATGTTAGTACTATTTTCATTGGATGAACTCGTAAAATTAGAATTGTTTATGATATTTTCACTCATACTTTTCACGGCATCAACATCATTTGAAGGTAACCTTAGAGTAGTTTCATTATTTTCAGTTGATAATTCATCTTTAATATCTTCCTCATTCAATTCATTATTATCGTCAGCAAAACTTTCTAATTCTTTAACCTCTAATTCATTTATTTCATCAGTGTCATTTCCATTCCATTCCTTTATCTCATCTTTAACATAATAATTATTTATTTCTTCATCATAATTACATTCAGTAATTTCATCTTTGTTAACATTAAAATTATTTAATTCATCATTCTCTTCTATTTTTTCAAAGTGTTCATTATTATCTTCAAGAATATTTTGTTCATTAAAGTTGCCTTCTGTCTCCTTAAAACTGTCTTTATTTTCATTATATACTTTATTATATTGAAATTTATCATTTAAATTATTTATATCACATTTTTTTTCGTAGTCACACCCTTTAATTTTTTCTTTATATTCTACCTTTTCATCTATTATATTATAATCATAATTTTTCTTGTCGTATTCATTTTTTTCATTATTGAATATTGTCAATGAATGCTTCTCTAAACTACTTACTTCTTCATTTACTGAATTAAAATTATTATTATTAATATTATTATTATTATTATTATTATCATTATTATTATCATTATTATTATCATTATTATTATCATTATTATTATTATTATTATTATTATCATTATCATTATTATTATCACTATTATTATTGTTATTGTTATTATTAATATTATTATTATTATTATTGTTATAATTATTATTATTGTTACTATTAATATTATAATTACTATTATTATTATAATTACTATTATTATTATTATTAATATTATTACTATTATTATTATCATTATTGCATTCAAAATTTTTTTCATTATTAAAATCATAAATGTTTTGCTCTTTTACAATATTACAACCGTTTTCTTGTAGAAATCTCTTCCTAAAAATTAAAAAAACTTTCTTATAACAATCAAAATATTTTGTTTTAATTTGCTTATTTTTTAAAATGTTATCATAGCATGTTGTTATACAATATCCATCATTAATAGAACCATCAATCATATATATATCATTTTTAAAAAAATCTTCATAAATATCTTCTTCATTTGTTATTCCACCTTTCACATTATATAAAATATTTTTTTTTTTATTATTCGTATTACAAATAGAACTTATAAAATAATCATAATTAAAATCTAATTTTTGTATATTGCTGTTAATTTTTTTCTTTAATTTTTTCTTATTTAATACTTTAAAGTAATGTAAGTAACTTAAAACATTCATCTTTTCTACATTTTCCTTTGGTAAAAGGTAGTTACAATAATTTTCAAAAGTTAAATCGTCATCACTTAAATATTTACAAAAAAATTTATTATCACAAAAATTTACATTTTTCTTCTCTTTTCTTTTCATATTTTTAAATATACAATTGTCATCACTGTTATAACCTAATTTTTCATTGCTCAAATTTCTTGTAACCCTACTACCTAAATTGTTACTATAAGTATAATTATTATCTAATTTGTATGAATCATAATTATTTACGTTCATATTATTTCCTTTTTTCAAGGAATAATTTCTGTTGTATATGTTGTTAAAGTTTAATTTTTGATTAACATTAGTTGTATTATTTGAAGAACTTAAATTTTTTTTTTTTTCAATATTTATTTTACTTTTCTTTTTAATTTTCTTCTTTTTTTCATTTTTATTTTTTGAAGTTCTATTTAATTTATTGTTATTATTTTTATAATATTTCGTTGTATTTATATAATTTGAGAATTTACTTTTATAATATTCCATATTTTTATTTAATTTATACAAAACATTCCTTTTTATATAACTGTTGTAAAATTCTATGTTTTTTTTTCTAACACTTGAACTAAAATTATAACTTCTAACACCTGAATAAAATACATTTAAATTATACTTATCCTTCACTTTATTAAGAAATTTGACTTTCTTAATATTCCTTAATTTTTGTATTTTTTTTGTTTTTTTTTTCTTTTTTAATTCATTCTTGCTATTTAAATTAATAAATTCATAATTTTCTTTTATTATTTTTTCTTCTTTAATAAATTGATTGATTTCATAAATATTATTATTTTCATTATTTTTACTATTATCATGTTGTTTCATCATATAACTCTTATTTTCATTTAATCCACTACTACTAGATAATGAACACTCATAAGACTTTTTGCTTCCTTCACATAATTTTATATTTTCATTGCTATTAATATTTTTAAATTCTCCCTTTCCTTCATTTGAATTATTTATTTTTTTTATATTTTCAAAAAATTCATTAACATTATTATTGTGGGAAATACTTTCACTATTTTTACTATCAATTTTATAGTACAAATTTATTATACTACTACTGTTTCCTCTATCTTCATTTTGCTTTTCATGGAATTTTTCACCATTTTTAAAATTGTTATTATTTTGACATTTTGTACTACTTAAACCATTCACTTCATTATTATTATTACTTTTTGTTGTATTAATTTTATTTATATTATTAGCAGTACTAGTGTTATTTTTACTATTATTACTATCATAATTATTAGTATAATTCGTATTAAAATTATTATTTGCAATAGTAATATTTGTTCTAACTTCATCCTCAATTTTATTGTAGTGATAAACATGGATATCATTTACCTTAATCTCACTCGATTTAAAAATCTCACTGGTATCATTTATGTTATTACATACAACGTTATATTTATTATAATAATTTTTATATTTAAAAATATCACATATGTTAGCATTTCTCTTTCTTATATTATGTTCACTATATCTTGAATTGAATGATTGAATACTTAAACTTTTATCTATATGTTTATTTAATAAAATATCCGAGTTTTCATTTATTTTATTTTTATATTCATAACGACTTGTAATAAGCTCACAATCGTTATTTTTTATTCCTATTTCTTCAAAATTTACATTTATTTTTACACTATTTTTTAAATTTGATTCAAAATTGTTTACACTTTCTTCTATATTACTTGTATTGATATTTTTTTGATTGTAACAATTTAAAATATTTAAGTCATTTTTAATTTTAAATTTAAAATTTAATATTTCATTATTTTCATGACTAAATGATTCATAATATGATTTTAATTTTGTACTTATATCATATATTTCATTTAAATTTTCATCTTTTAAAACACCTTTGTCATGAATGTTGTTAAAAGATGAATTTTTTTGTGGTGATTTTGCTGTATATGATGAATTAAAAGAAATATTTTCCATTTTGTTTATAATAATTATTATTTTATGTCCATTATTTCTTTTATTTTTTCTCTTTCTTTTCCTTTATATATATATATATATATATATTTATATTTTAAAAAAAATATATAAAAACAAATTAAAAAAAAAAAAATAAATAAAAATAAATTTTAAATAAAAATGAAATAAGATATAAACTGTAAATAATTATAATTATTTAAAAATAATAAAATACATAATGGTGTATTTTTTTTCTTTTTTTTTTTTATGTATACTTAATAAACTATAATAAAAAAAGGATATCATCAAAATGTTCCTTTTTTATTTTATGTTTATAAACACACATATATATATATATATATATATAATATATATAAATTTTTTTTTTAAATTATGCAATTAATTATATTTGCAAATTATAAACTGAACAAAATTCTATACTAACTCTTACAATAAAAAAAATTTTGTAAAAAAGATTCAATGAAAAAGAAAATTTAAAAAAAATAAAGAACATAGATATATATGTAGTACATATATACATTCACTTATTTTTTTTTTTTTTTTATAAAATTATATTTCTATAAAAAAACAAAATAATTAAATTCTAAGTGTAGAATAAAATTCTTTTTATTCTTAATGTCACTAATTAAAATATATTTATAAAATATATTTAAAAATTAAGTAAAAGATAATACACATCTATATAAAAAATTTTACATAAGTAAATTATTCTATAAAATATTATGCAAAACAAAAAAAAAAAAAAATACACCACAATATATTTTAATTTTCTTTTTAAATATATAAAAAAAAAATTATATATATTATTAAAATATAAAAAAGGTTTCGATTTAAAGTATTATATTTAAAAACTAAAAAGTTAATTAAAAAAAAAAAAAAAAAAAAAAAAAAGTTATAAAAATATACACAATTTAGTAATACAATATTAAATACTAAAAATCTTCATTTTCTTGAAATGGTTAATAACTTCACCTATTTTTCATGTCACACATTTACATAAATGTTGAAAATATATAAAATAAAAAAAAAAAATAATAAATTAAAACATTTATCTAAATAGCGTTACATAGAACAAAACCATTAAAAAGAAAAATTAAAAAAAAAAAAAGGAAAAAATTTAAAAAAAAAAAAAAAAGAATATGATATAAATAATCAATGTATTCTCTGAAAAATATATTTAAAAAAATATCATAATTTAATATATAATTTTATTTATAGCTAATAAAAATCATTGTTATTAAAAAAAAAAAATTAAAAAGCTAAATGTTATTTAATTTACATTTATATTCATTGTAAAAAAAAAAAAAAAATATATGTATATATATATAAATTAAAAAAAATTAAATTAATGATAGTATGTGAGAAACATGTAAAAAATTATATGAAAAAAAATATTTTTTTTTTTTTTTTTTGTTCTTTCATGTTTTTTCACTATAACTTTACGTTTCTATATTATACGTTTGTATATAATATATATATAACTTAAGTATATAATTACATATATTTCATTTAAATGTAAATAAAAGGATGTATATATCATTATATATTTATATTTACATCTAGATAAAAGAGTGACGAACAAAATATATGAATCATAAATAGCAAATAGAGCTTTATGTGAAATAAAAACATACTATGGTAATTATGGTCGATAAAAAAAAAAAAATATAAAATAATATATTTTAAAAAAAAAAAAAAAAAATGTAAATATTTATTCCACTTATTCTTACTTTGTATATTTGCTACATAATTTTACCTTTTTTTTTTTTTTTTTATCTTTATAATTTTAATTTTTCATTTTTTTCATATTTTAAAAAAAAAATTTTATTAAAAAAAATAAAACTTTAATTATTTTATAAACAAATGCTAGATATAGTTTTCTGCTTTCAAGAAAAATTTCTTACAAAGAATTCAGTGATTTTATGCATGCAAAATAAAATGCATGCTTTAAATTACAAAAACAAGCAAACTGTTTTTCAAATGAAAAATTTTAAAAAAGATTTAAAATTAAAATTGTTTCAGAATTTTTTATAAATTATTTCAAATTAATACACTTCTAATTCTAAAGTGTTTTTTTTTATTTCGTAGAGATTATTTCTGTAAGCATTGCATGCAACAGATTTTTACATATATATAAATATACATATATAAATATATACATATATAAATATATACATATATAAATATACATATATATAAATATATATATACAATAAAAAACAAATTAAAAAAAATTATATATTGCTCGATATAATAATATGTATTAATAATTTTATAACATAAAAAAGCTACAAATTATTTTTATTTTAATATTCTATCTTATAATAACAAAAAGCTATGTAATAAATAATTCTTATTAGAAAAAATAATTGATAGTTGATATTCAGAATATAGTTAATTTATGTTCATATTTTTTATTTTATTTTTATTCTATAATTGTATTATTTATAAATTTTTTATATTCTTTTTTTTTTTTTTTTTTTTTTTTTTTTTTAATATAAATTTAATATGAAGTTTTTTTTTTTTAAAATTCTTTACGGTGAAGTCTAAACGTTACAAATATTTATAGACATACATATATTTTATAGAATTTTTCTACATTTAATTTTAAAGAGATAATTAAATTTCTTAATTTGTATTTTTATTCTTTTTTTTTTCAATCCACTCAAGATTAAATTGTATTGTTTTTTTTTTTTATTTTTATCAAAATCTTATAAACGAATAAACAGTTTGAAATATATTATATCTTAATAAATATTTAATAAATTTTTTATTAATGTCATATTGAGAAGCAACATTATTTTAATATTTTTTTTTTTTTTATTTTATTTTTAAATTTTTTCCTATAAAAATTAAAAAATTATATTCTGAGGATTCATTTTTTTTTTTTTTTTTTTTCACATGGGTTATGTAAAGTGTTTGCTTACATAGTTTTCTATTTGATTTCGTTATTAACAAAATAGTTAATAATAAGAATTTTAAAAAAAAAAAAAACCAACAAATTTTCTTCTACATAATAATTCATTATTATTCTATAATTGTTTATATTCTTAAAAATTTGAACATATTCATGTTTACTTATTTTAACAAAAATAATCATAAAGAGAAAAAAAAAAAAAAAAAAACCTAAAATAAAAGAAGAAAAAACAAATTTTATATATTGTTTAAAAATGTAAAAAAAAGTTATAAATAAAATCAACAATATTTATCAAAAAAAAAAAAAAAAAATATATCATAACGACTGCTTCTTAAAAGAAACAGCTACATATCCAGTCATAAAAAAAAAAAAGAAAAAAAATGAAGAAAGCTTAATAAGTTACACATTGTTAAAAAATACTAAATTATATGCTTTTACAATTTAAAATAACAAATATATAATAACAATTTAACAGATATTAAAAGAAAAATTATTGATAAGTAATTTTTTGTAATACAAACAAAAATAAATTGGTATTTTAATGATATATTCATTAATTTAAAAAAAAAAAAAAAAAAAAAAAAAAAAAATACGTTTAAATGAAAATTAAATTGCTTATAATAATAAAAATAATTTCAATTTATAATAATTTTTCTGTAAAATTAACAAGTCTCTTGATGTTCTTATTTTCTTCTTCTAATGTATTTTTCCTATAAAATAAAGATGAAAAATGTTTATATATATATATATATATATATTTATATATATGTATATAATTATTACCTATATATCATTCTAGTATTAGCTATATTCGTTTTTTCTGGATTATTATGAAAATTTAAAGATTCATCTAAATGGACCCCTAACCAATGTTTTTTAAAAGCTGGTTCAAATCCACTAGGAAAAAAAAAAAAAAAAAAAAAAAAAATTCAATTTTAATTATTTTTAACATATTTTCCTACTATATATTATGCATAAATATAAAAAATTATATTTAACCTCTGAATGACTGAATTTCTTGCAATTTCACTTAAATCTACAGTACTTAACTTCCACATATGCTAAAAAAAAATAAAAAAAAATAGGATAGACATATATATATTTATATTAAAAATATATAATAATAATTATATATATATATATATATATATAATTACTGCACATATAGAATATTCCTCTAATAATGGTTCATCTGTGAAATGAAACATTAAAGGATCGTCTGTTGATAAAGATACATTCAAACCTATTTTAAAAAAGTTTTTAAAAGGATTTTTTTCTATAAAAAAAAAAAAAAAATTAAATATATTATATTAAAAATTCTTATAAGAGGAAAAACTAGGTAAAAAAAAATCTAATTTTGTAAGGAAAAAAAAAAAAAAAAAAATTCTTTACCTATTTGCAAAAATAAGGCATTATTTGATAAAGGAGAAATTGCTAATCCAATCTGCTTTAGATAATATAAGTATAATAAAACAGGAGATTTTCTTAAATTTATTCCATGATTTATTTTATCAGCTAATAAAAACATAGTGGCTAAATGACTTATGTTTCCTGTTTCACCACAATGCGGTCTAAAAATATTACAAATATAAAGAAATATTCATTTAAATGTAAGATAAAAAAAAAAAAAAAAAAAACAGTTTTTAATACCATTAAATAATTTTTTTTCATTATCATAATTTAAGTTTTTTATCTTTTAACCTGAATGCCAATGGTCTTAATTTTCTGAGAACCATAAATTCATTTAATGTTCTAATATTTGCATACATATAATATGCGTAATAAGAATAAGGTGGATTATTATCACTAGTATAATTATCAGGTGTTGGTAATTCACCCCCTTTCACTGTATATTTTGAAACAACAGATTCATCATCCACACTATCCCATGCAACTACTTGATGTAAAAAAGTAAAAATTTCTTTGTTTTCTTCTGGATTTTTTACTGCTTCAAAACATGGTTCAAAAACATTTCTTAAAAAATCACCAAATGTATTAATTAATTTCATTTTTTTATATATATGATATAATCTTGGTACTTGAATAACCCATCGTACTCTTATACTACTTAATTTATTAACTAAAACCCACTTTGCTAATTTCAACCATTCATTTTTATTTTTACCATAAATAGATATACGCCATTCTACATGTTGATATTTAGAATTCTCTAATTTTTCTATTTCTTGTTTTGTAATTTCTGCTAAATATCTACCTTCTATATAATTGTCTGTTTTTAAAAAAATATCTCTTAATAACTTTTGACCAAATGGATTATATTTTTGATTAAATAGATCAAATCTATGAAAACAATTTCCTAATGCATTAACTGCTAAACTATCAACTGTGGCTTCATAAGCGGAACTTTTTAACTCTTTATCAAAAATTTGTTTTAAAGTCATTTTTTCTCCTTCTTCATTTACATAAACTATTGTATTTGGTTCTGTTTTATACTTTTCTCTTATAAATCTTAATAATACTTTTTGTTGCATACATGCAGAATGATGAACATGTGTATCTACTTTTCTTATATTATAAAAATCACGATGTTTTATATTTTTTGCCTCTCCTAATTCTAAAGATCCATTAAACATAATATGAAAATCAAATTTTTGTTCTAAGTACTTTAATCTCTGATAACAAAAACTTTTACATGCGGGATCCTGTACAGCTACCATTATTAATTGAATAGATGATAAATATTCTTCAGTTGATTTTATAGATTTATGTCCTTTTAATTTATTTGATTCATTGCATTCTTCTTTACCTAAAAAAAAAGAAATATTTTGATATTACGATTTATATAATAATATATATAATAATATATAGAAAAATGCATATTAAAAGAAATCTTTTAAATACTCAAAAATTTTTATAATAATGTGATATTTTTTTTATATTACTTATAGGTCCTTGGTCAATATCTGGATCCCAATGAACAAAAAAAATACCATCAACAAAATTAATAAAAGCATTACATTTTTTTAAAATGGTAACATTATAAGGATTATAAATAGGCTCAGCAGATTCAAATTGATCTGGATGTTTTTTTTTGTAACATTCTGATACTACCGCATCTTCAATCACTGATGTATCAATATCAGTAAAATTTTTTATATACTCATCTCTTAAATTACAAATTTTTAACAATTTCTATAATAAATATATATATATATATATATATATATATATATATATATATATATATATATATATATATATATATATATCTATATATATTAATAAAAAATACTTTTTCAAAATATTTATTACAATAATACATGTATTAATAAAAAAACACCTGAGCAACTTCTAGTTCTTCTCTAGGTATATTTCCAGTTGATGATAATGTAAAACTAAAACGGTTAAAAGATTGTAAATCTGGTAGATCCTTATTTATTAATGTATTTTCATATTTCATTGATGCATTTGATGAAGCCTTTACTATTGTCTCATATAAAAAATTCCATCCTTTATTTTTATTTGATAGGCATTCATTTAAATCATTATTCGATCCTATCATTATTATATAATTCAAAAAAAAAAATATATATATTTTTCTTCTGTTTAAAATTAAAATATAACTTGAAATATTAAACAAAAAAAACAGAATAAAAATACAAATTGTTCATAATATACTTTTTTTTTTTTTTTTTTTTTTTTTTTCTTTTATATCAAAATAAAATATTCTGCATCAGTCTATAAGAAATAATTCTTTTTCTTTTTTATTATATTTTTTTTTTTAAAAATATATTACTTTTATTTGATTTATTTATTTATTTATTTATTTATTTATTTATTTATTATTATTATTATTATTATTATTATTATTATTATTATTATTCTGAATAACTAATCCAACTTATTTTAATCATTTTTTTTCTTCAATGTATCATTTTTTCTTATTTGAATATATTTGTAATTTTTATGAATTTGTAAATATAAATATTGTATAATTTCTTTTTCAATTTCTTATTTTATCTTATTTTTAATTTTTCAAGGTCTTTTTTTATTTATAATTTTATGTATAACACATATATATATATATATATATATATATATATATATATATATATTTAAATAATCTCACTAATTTTTTTGAATAAAAAATGTGTATAACATTAAAATGTAGTAAGGTTACAATCGTTTAATTTTATTTTACTGAAACTTTTTCCATACTTTTTTTTTTTTTTATTTTTCTTTATAAAAACAAAATAAAATTGAAAAACATACAAAAAAAACTTATTTATATAAAAATGCATGCTCAATGTTTAATTTTTATTAATTTTTTTTTTTTTTTTTTGTGTATGCATTTTTTTCAAAAATTAATTTAACACAATAATAAAATACTTTATATAGAAAAATATCATTTATGAATAACATAAAAAATAAATAAAAATAATATGAAATACTTATTTATTATATTTGTTAAATACACATTTAACTGAATATATATAAATCAAAAAAGAATAAATCGCCAAGTAGAAAAAACAAGTTAAATATATATGGTGTAAAATACTTAATTTTGCACCTATAGATATTTTTATATCATATATGGTTTCTATAATAATATTTATTTTAATCAAAAAAACTAAAGTAAGAATATTACATGAATTTTTTTTTTTCATTTATTTTTCTTTGTGTAATTTCATATTTAAGTAAGTATATATTGTTATTAAATACATGTCTTTTTCTTTATGATAATTTAATAAATGTAATCATTTATAGCAAATAATATAGGCAAATAAAAAATATAAGTATTCCTTTGTACTATTTTAAATAATTTTTTTTTTTTTTTGTATAATAAACTCTTTTTCTATTAAATTAAGCTAATATTTTGTTGTGCTTTTATATTTTATTCATATAACTATATTTTTAGAATACTGAACTACCATTTACAATAATTTTTATATAATATATATGATAAATAAAACAAAAAAGTAAAAATTTGTTAAATTATTTAGAAATGTTACTATTACATTTTTTTATTTTATGTACATATATATAAAAGAAGTAATTTATAAAATTAATTTTTAATTTGTTTATGTTTTCTCATTTTTATCATGATATAATTATTAGTTTAACATAATTTTTAATATCCACTTATCGATAAATTTATACAAAATTTTTTCTCCATATTCTCTATGTACATAATTTTTTTTATAAATAAAAAAATATATTTTAAAATTGTAAATTAAAAAGAACCCAAATTAAAAAATTCTTCTTTTTTATTTATTGTAATTTTATTTGTTTTTGTATTTATTTACAGTTTTTTAATTTATTTTTATAAATCTTTTTTTTTAAGTATAAATTGATATTCTTTCTAATTAATTATATTTTTTAACATTTTTATATTGCTAATAATTTTATATATACAAAAAAGGAATTACAATTTTATGTAAAAAATGTAAAAAAGTTAAATATTTTAAGAATAATTAATAGAATAGTAAAAAAAGTTTTAGTAGCATCAGTTATATTTATGTGAAAAAAACAAATCTTGTAAATTTCAAAAAAAAAAGTCATAAAGAACTCAGCAAATTTATATATATTTTATTTATATAAACTCTAGTATTTTCATTTCAAAAAGGAATATTTCAATGCAAAAAAACATTTAACAAATATTTTTTTTTTTAGCTAAATTTTTATATATGCTATCTTTTTATTTAAAATCTAATTTTTATAGAAAAAATTATGGTAAAATTGATATTTTTTTGAAATCAAAATATTTAAGAAAAGTAATTCTATCAAATATAAAAAAGATTTTCATTAAGTGGAATCTTTTTAATTTTAAATTTAAATATAAATTAATTTGGTAGATCTAAAATTTAAATAAACAAAATTATCCTATTTAATTATATACAAGTAAAAAGAGAATTATAAAAAAATAAATTTTATATTCCATTGTTTAAATTCTGATTTTTATCATTTTCTAATTATTCTAAAAAAAAAGATATAATTTTATGAAATCCATAAGATTAATTTTTTATAATTGCATTATTTTTACATGTCTAATGTAAAATACATTTTTTTTTTATATATAAATTGAAAAAAACGCTTTTTAAAAAAATGGCTGACAGTTTTCCACATGACAAAATAAAATTAGGATACTTAATTAAAACATTTAATTACTTTTCAAGATTTTTTTTTAAGCAAAAAAATAAAAAAAAAAAAGTAAAACTAGTATAAAAATGCTATTATTTTTGTTTACATTGAAATGCTTTTCATATATCTATTTTTTGAAGTAATGTAGAAATTAATAAATTAAAAAATACAAATTGTTGATTATTTATATAAATCAAAACGCATATTTTACTATGATTTATTTAAAAATGTATTTAGTTTTATTATGCTCTAATACATTCATACATTTAAATATGTATTAAGTACTATGTATTCTTAAATTAATATTAGTAAAAATATATGATTAAAAAAAAAAAAAAAATATTTATATAAAATTTCATTTTATTAGTATTAAAAAAATAATTTATTATTTTATTTAAAAAAAATTTTTTTTTCTTTTAAATATTATTTATGTATAAATATTAAAATAGATAATAATTATTTTTATTTTTTTTTAATTACACAGCAATTTAAATTTGAAAAGTTCAAAAACAAATTTTTATATTAATATGTATATATTTATTAATTATTAATAACATTTTTGTTATAAATATTTAAAATTTATAACATATTTTTAATTTTATTTTTATCATATATATAAATATATATATATATGTACAATATTAACTGAAATATGTGCTAAAAAAAAAAATAAAATAAATTTTTTACGTTTACATGAAATGAAAGGAGGCATTTTATGAAAGATGGATATAAAGAATGAAAAAAACAAAAGTTATGATTTAAAAGATTCTTATGAATCAAAAACCCCTATAGAAAAAGAAACAAATGAAAACACAAATGTGGACATATTAAATGAAAGATATATAATTTGGAGAAAAAATACCCCATTTTTATACAGTTCTCTCTTAAAAAATAAGTTAGATTGGCCATCATTAACTGTTGAATTTTTAGGAAGTGATAACTCTTTTAAATCAAAAACTAACTATTTTACTAATAAAATTCTTTTAGGAACTCATACATCTAATCAAGATTTCGAATATGTTTATATTGGTGAAATAAAATTTCCATTATATTCTGTTAAGGAAGATGTACTACAATATGAAAACTATAGCGGTTTTATAAGTAGTAAAAAAAAAAAAAAAGCATACCCATTACCATCCTTTGAAATTAAAGCAAAATTATTACACCCTGGAGAAGTTATAAGAGCTACACATTTACCAAGTAATCCTTTTTTTATTGTTACTCAAACAAATAATGGTAATATTCTATTATTTGATTATACAAAGCATCCATCTTTTCCATCGGATGTATCAACATGCTATCCCCAAATGATATTAAAAGGACATAAAAGTGAAGGAAGTGGCTTGTGCTGGAATATCAACAAAGTATATGATAATTACCGAAATCCAAATACTTATAATGAAGAAAATGAAAGTAATATAAATGAAAATAATAGTGGTTTTGGAGAAGTTAATCCCAGTGATTTATTATTAGCATCTTGTTCTGTTGACGGTAGTATATGTTTATGGGATATTAACAAAGGTACAAAATGTAATGATGTTCCAAGAACATATGGTTTAAATAAAAGTGGAAAAATCACAGATTTTAATATAAAAACATATGAAAATACTCCAACTATAGATCCGTTATGCACATGGATCAACAAAAATAAAGAAATTTCGTTAAATGATATTTTTTTTCATCCTAAATTTAATAATGCTCTTGGAGTGTGTGATGATGATGGTTACATGAGTTTATATGATATAAGAAAAAAAAATTTCTTTTCAAAACCGGAAATAAATTTTAAAGATCATAATGAGGCAATGAATACTTTTTCTTTTGATAATTTTTCAGAATACATTTTTTCATGTGGATATAGTGATGGATTAATTTCTATTTGGGATATGAGATACAATAAGGAATCTTTACTTAAAATAAATTATCACACACAAAGTATTAATAGAATTAAATTTTGTATGATGTCATCAGGTATTTTTGGATCTTGTTCAGACGATGGTACTACTTGTATTTGGGACATATCAAGAAATTCAGCTAGCTACGAACAAATAAAAAAATCAGAAGATGACATTTATAATAGTTCCAAAAAAATTCCTAAACAGTTGCTATTTGTTCATGGAGGACATATTGGGAGTGTCTATGACATGGCTTGGGCAAATAGTAACACATTTTTAGTGGCGACTGTTGGAGTTGATAATTCACTACAAGTTTGGCATATGAATGAACAGTTCATATTTCAGTAAACAAATTTTTAAAATTAAAAAAAAAAAAAAAAATAAAGAAAAAATAAAGGGTAAATAAAACAAAACAAATTTAAAGTAAACCATATAATATAAATAACAAAAAATTCTTATTATTACATAAATGTAAAAGAAATTTTACTTAAATAAAAAGAAAGACAAATCATTATATTTGATTAAAATATTTTTAAAATAATATATTTTAATGAAAATATAAAAATGATGAATATATTCAAAAAAAAGTTTCCATTTTAATACTTTGTCTCATATAAATATCAAAAAATTAAAATATAAGATAAAAATCATTAATGAAATAATAAAGTTAGGGAAATATACAATTTTAAAAACTTTTTGTCAATATTATAAAAAGAGAATAGAACTATATTTGTTTATTTTTTTAAATAATCATATAAAATAATACGCAAAAATTTTCAATTCATTATATATAGAGACATCTATATTTTCTCTTCATTCTAAACCGATATATTGATTTAAAATTATTATTATTAATATTTTAATTTTTTTATTTTATTTTTACCTTTATCTTTTTTTTTTTTTTTTTTTTTTTTCTTTTATACCTAATTTCGTAATTTCTTACTAAATAGTATATTAAGAAAATATTCATAGTATCATATTTTATGTTTTAGATTAATATACTAATTATATTTCTTCTTTTTTTTTTTTTTAATATCAATATTAAAATTTTTTTTTTTTTTTTTTTTTTTTTTTTTTTTTTGTTTTAGCAAAAATAATACAATTTTTTTAATTTTTAAATATTTTTTGATATAAAAATAAGATTTAAATAGTTTCTTTTGTAAAATTTTTAATTAGAATAATTAATTATGAATAATATATTTATTCATACATTCTTTTAATAAGAAAAATTATTTATTATAGACAGAAAAATTTATATATTATAATAAAATAATAAACATTAATTGTATTGTGAAAGTATTTTATATAGAAAACTAAACAAGCTTAATGTACTTTATTTTTCCTAATTGAATGCACTAATTTCCAATCTAATATAAGTATATTTTTAAATTTATTTAACCATACACTCATTTTTTCTTTCTCTTTTTATATTATTATATATTTACTTTTCTTTAACATATCAGAAAATACATCTGTTTATTTAATAGAAAAAACTTTTATGAATTATATTTAATGGGTAATGTAAATCATTAAATTATTTTTTGTCTTTTTTTTTAGTACATTTTATTTTTTCTTTTTTATAATTAATAGTATATAATATTAATATATCCCTATTTACTATATATCTATTAAATATTTACTTATTACATTTATTAAGATGACTACAAATGAAAATGAAGAAAAATTAAAAGAAGATTATGATGATATAAAATATGAAAAGCCGGATACCCATAAAAACTTTTGGAAATCATTTGGTTTAGATAGCAAAGCAGGAAAATTACTTTATTATTTATACGGGGACAATAATAAAATTAACCCAAATTTAATAGCTCCTAAAAAATTTGTGAAAAAAGAAAAAGACGTAAAAGAAATAAAAATAGAAAAATCATTTAGAAATCCTCAAATTAATTATCCTTCCTATAAAAGTTATAAAAAAATTCTTATTGAAATTATCCTTAAAATAAGTTTATATAATATTCTATTAAATTATTGTTAAATTAAATGTTTTATTTATTAAATTAGTACAAAATTGTACTATTATTAGTTAAATTTTTAATTAAAATATTTTAAAATAAATTTTAGAAATTATATGCATATCTATAATTAATAAGAATATAAAACATTACATAATAATTATTATATTAATTAAAATTTTTAAAAAAATAGAATAATATAATTTTAATCTAAAAATCTTTTTACATTTATTTTACATTAAAATTGTTTTGTTTCAGAAAAAATAGAAAAAGAAAATCCTATAGATAAAATTCCACATAAAAAGCCTTTGTCTAAAATTTTAGAAGAAACAAAAAATTACGAATCCATAAAAGAACTTCCTATTAAAATAGGAAGGAATAGAGAGGAAGAGAAAAAAAAATTGAATGTGATTTTTCTTGAACAAAAATGCAAAGTTTTACCACCAAGTTGTGCACCATTAGTTTTAACAGAAGAAGAAAAAAAAGAAATAATTAAAAATGCAGAAAAAAGATATTTAGATTTGAGTGAATCTAATAGTAGAGAAGATAAAATTATAGATGCTCTAAAAAATTATAGAACTGAATTAAAAGTAGAATTAAATAAAAAGATAAATGAATTTAAAAACATTATGTGTGATAACAATACAAGTAACAATAAACCGGGAGAAAATACAAGGAGGTTAAATGAATTAGAATATCAAAAAATAAATCTTAAAAATGAAATAGAGCAGTGCAAAAAAAATATAAAAAAAACAGATGATATTTTAAATTCTTTAAAATAATGTTTTTTAGTAATAATAGGAATACTTAAAATATATTTTTTATCCCAGAATGTATATATAATACTCATGTCATTTTTAATAAAATGAAAAATGTATAAATCATACATATTAAAATGATGTTAATAAAAGATATTTTTCTAAATTTATAAATTAATGTTTTCATATATTTAATGGAACTATTTAAACATGTTAAAAAATAAAATATATAGAAATTCTAAAAAAAAATTCTAAATTTATTTAAAAAAAATAATTTTTGCATCTGAAAAAAAAAGAAAAAAATATTATAAAAATGAACTTTAATTCATTTTTTTTTTTACTTTTAAAAATTCATTGAAACTGATACATTATATATATATATTATTTAAAAAAAATATATTAGGAAGTTTTAAGTAAATAAAAGAATTAGAAAAAAATAAAAATTTACAAAATTAAAAGAATGTATTAACTATTTTATGTGACAGTTGTTTTGGTTTATTTACATAGTTTTATCTTTGTCTTTTTCTTTTTTTTTTTTCTTTCTTTTTCTTTTTTTTTTTTTTATATTTTTTTTTTTTTTTTTTTGCTTCATTTATATATTAATTATTTTTACCCTATATATGAATATAAAATTTTTGTGTTCACACATAATTAAAAAATAAAAATAAATAAAATTACTATAATACATAATGATATTAATGTTAAAAATTTTATTTTTACTTATAAAAGTATTTCAACATAAATTTTTTCATTTTTATGTAATGAAAAAAAATTATTATTATTATAATTCTATGAAATAAGGGTTACACTAAAACCTTAAAAATTAATTATAGTTTATTTTTATATATTATTTAATTGTTGCATTTGATTAATACTTTATTAAACTATTATTTTAACCCATATTTTTTAAACCTTCATTTTCTGTTTTATTTTATTTTTATTTTCAACTCCTTAGATAAAAATAATTAATTTTTTTTTTTACGTTTTTCTCACTTTTTATATTCATAATTTCTTTCTTTTAATTATATATTATTATTTAGTACATTAATTAAATAATATTTTGGAGTAGAAAAAAAAATATATGTATATATATATTTTTTTTTTTTTTTTGTAGTAAATTAATGGAAAAAGATCATTGAAATTATTTGTTACACTTTTTTATTTATTTATTTTTAATCAACATATTTAATTTTATATATTTATTTTGTATATATATATATTTGTTGATTTTATTTTTTGTAATAATTTATAAGTTATGTTCTGTTAACATTCTGTTTTAAAACAACAATTAGAGAAAATTTGTATAGTAATTTTTTGTACTTTTTTTTTTTTTTTTTTTTTTTTTTTTTTTTTTTTTTTTTTTTTTTTTTTTTTTTTTTTTTTTCATTTATTTCTTTTTCTTTCTGTCTTTTTTTATGAATTTATTATAGATATAATCTCATTTTTATTATAATTTTAGTTTTTTTTTTTTTTGCTTTATCAATATATTTCATTTTTTTTCTGTAATAATATATATAAATAATATTTATAAACAATAATTTTTTGTCATTCAATCAATATGTATTTCATTTTCCTTACGTGAAGGGATAAACAAAGTAAACAGAAATATTGAAGAAAATTCAGTAAAATTGCACACAAATTATTTTTCAGTTAAACAAAGAAAGAAAAAAATAAACAATATTAAATAAAAGTATTACATTCTATATTACTATTGTAGAATATTCTCTAATCAGTGTTAATTAAAAGAACGAAAAAATAAAATTATTGTGTTGTACTTGATATGCATATTTCATAACATTACGTTAATTAAAATGTGAATGTGTGATCAATCTTTTTTTTTTTTTTTTTTTTTTT